CAGTTGTGGGTGAGGTGACCACTGCAACCATTGCAACCACTCCAGCAAACACAACTCCAACCACCTTTCGGTCAATCAGTGGATTCGCTCTGCCATCCGTGATTCACAACAACCAACGTCTCCTATAGGTTTCCTATTCTGAAACTTCCGCCACCGCCTTGTGCGGTACTACTGGTAAACCGATCGGAAACTATAGTAGGAAACCACGGAAACCCTGCACAGTCGGAGACCGGTCGAAAACCTGTCGGAAACCAGTCGGAAATCAGTTTGAAACCAGTCGGAAACGAATCGAAAACCATTCGGAAACCAGTCGGAAACCAGCTTGAAACCAGTTTGAAACAGTCTGAAACCAATTTGAAACAAATCTGAAACCATTCTGAACCAGATTGAAGCCAGTCTGAAACCAAACTGACACCAGTTTGGAACCAGTTTGAAACCAGCTGGAAATTAGTCGGAAAATGTCGGAAACCCGTCTGAAACCAGTCGGAAACCAATCGGACACCATTCGGAAAACAATCGGAAACCAGTCGGAAACCAGCCGGAGACCAATCTGAAACCAGTCGGAAACCAGTCTGAAACCAGTCGAAAACCAGTCTGAAACCTGTTGGAGACCAGACGAAAACCAGTCTGAAGCTAGTTTGAAACAATTCTGAAACTAGTCTGAAACCCGTCTGGAACCAGTTTGAAACTAATCTGCCAGACAGTTACCAAGTGCCGCGCCAGCCACGCGAGACAGCCACAGCGTCAATGGCGTCAACGGCGTCAAGCAGCCGTCCCAGAGAGTCACCAAGTCACCAAGCGCCGCGCCTGCCACGCGGGACAGCCGCGGCGTCAACGGCGTCAAGCAGCCCTGCAGGGACACACCAAGTGCCGCGCCTGCCACGCAAGACAGCCCAGCGTCAACGGCGTCCAAAGCCGCAGCGTCAATGGCTTGGAGACTACAGAGAGTCACCAAGTCCCGCCTGCCACGCAAAGAAGCCGCGGCGTCATCGGCGTCCAAAGCCATCCTTGGAGAATACAGAGGGTCACCAACCGCCGCGCCTGCACGCAAAGCAGCCGCGGTCAACGTCGTCCAAAGCCGTCCTTGGAGACTACCACCACGTGCCACGCCTGCCACGCAAAGCAGCCGCGGCATCAACGGCGTCCAAAGCCGTCCTTGGAGACTATACAGATGGAGTCACCCGGGTCAACGGCGTCCAAAGCCGTCCTAGGAGACTACAGAGAGTCACCAAGCGCCGCACCTGCCACGCAAAGCAGCCGCGGAGTCAACAGCGTCCAAAGCCGTCCTTGGGCTCTGTAGACAGTCACCAAGCGCTGCGCCTGCCACGCAAAGCAGCCGCGGCGCCAACGGCATCCAAAGCCGCAGCGTCAACGGCGTCCAAATGCCGTCCAGAGACTACAGAGAGTCACGGCGTCCAAAGACATCCAGGGACTACTACAGAGTCACCACGCAAAGCAGCCGCGGCGTCAACGGCTTATTACAGAGAGCCACCAAGTGCCGCCATTGCCACGCGAAGCAGCCGCGGCGTCAACGCCGTCCAAAGCCAAGCAGCCGCGGCGTCAACGGCGTCCAAAGCCGTCCAGAGTACAGAGAGTCACCAAGGGCCGCGCCTGCCATGCAAAGCAGCCGCGGCGTCAACGGCGTCCAAAGCCGTCCAGGGACTACAGAAAATAACCAAGTGCCGCGCCTGCCACGCAAAAGCAGCCGCGGCGTCAACGGCCTTCAAAGCCGCGGCGTCAATGGCGTCCAAAGACGTCCATGGATTTAAAGGCCTACGCCTGACAGCCGGGCGCCGGCCAAGCAATCTTGGCACCATGTTGGCAACGACTTTGGGCGTATGGTGTGGGAAGATTGGGCCGAGAGTCTCCGCGCAAACCCAGGAAGGGCTATGTTGAACCGAGGCAGGCATAATGCGCAGTGCTTGCCTCTATGGAAGCAGTCTGGGCCTACGTTGAGCGCAGGTTGTGCCCATGTTGGGCCAAGTCGGGCCCATGTTGCGCCATCTTGAGCTTATCTTGGGCTTATGTTGGGCCAAGTCGGGCCCATGTTGAGCCATCGGGCCCATCTTGGGTCTATGTTGGGCCAAGTTGGGCCCAATGTTGGGCCTATGTTGGGCCTATGTTGGCCTATGGTGGGCCTATGTTGCCCATGTTGAGCCCTCTTGGGAGCTATGTTGGGTTGAAACGATCTTAAGATGCCAATTTTTCCGCCCGGGACCCCCTCCTGGAGCCCAACCATGTAAAAACCGATGTTTTGTAACATCGCCAAGATGAAACCCCTTGCCGCCGAAGGGCCCGAAACACCGTAAAAAAAAACGATTTTTTTTAACACCGCAAGCGAAATACACCGTAAATTACAGGGGCTTCAGTTGAAACGGAGTCGCGTCGGAGGTGGGTCGGCGGCAGGGGGCGCAGCCTATAACCACCACCGAAGGCCTCCGGCAAGGACACGGGCTCCGTGGTCGGCGCCTGGACTACTACAGGGAGTCACCAAGCGCTGCGCCTGCCACGCAAAGCAGCCGCGGCGTCAACGGCGTCCAAGCTGCGGTCAACGGCGTCCAAAGCTGTCCGGAGACTACAGAGAGTCACCAAGCGCCGCCCCTGCCAGTGATAACAAGTTGATAAAGGCAAGTTGGCACAGACAACTTGATAGAGACAAGTGGATGGAGACAGGTTGATAGAGACAAGTGGATGGAGGCACGTTGATAGAGACAAGTGGATGGAGACAGGTTGATAGAGACAAGTTGATAGAGACGACGGTGGGAGGCGGACGGAGGCGGACGGCGGATTTCGAACAAAAAGTTAGAACCCCACATAGTGATGTGGGGAACAACACTGTGAAAAAAAACTAAATGAAATCTTAACTGACACCTTAGCTGAAACCCTAAAATGACACCCTGAAGAAACCCTAAATGAAACCCTAAATTGAAACCCGAAATGAAACCGTAAAGAAACCCTAAATGTAAAGAAACCCTAAATGACACCCTAAATGAAACCCTAAAGGAGCCCTAAAGGAACCCACTTGAACGTTTAGAAATCATGAAAAGAAATCCTGATAAGAAACCCTGGAATGAAACCTTAAAGAAAGCTTAAATGAACTCTTGAATGAAACCTTAAACTCAAACCCTAAATTGAAACCCTAGAGAAACTTTAAGTGAAACCCTAAAGAAACCCTAAATTAAACCCTAAATGAAACCCTAGAGAAGCCCTAAAGAAACTCCAAACGAAACCCTAAAGAAATTCTAAATGAAACCCTAAAGAAACTTTAAACGAGACCCTAAATGAAACCCAAACTGAAACCCTAAATAAAACCTTAAATGACGCCCTAAATGAAAGCCTAAAGAACTTTCAAGAGACCCACATGAACGTTTGAAGTACCAAAATGTAGCAAATACCATGCGCATGAAAGGTTGAAATGCCAAAATGTGACAAGCACCATGCAAAATGGAAGGCAAACATGGCCAAATGTAGCAAACACCATGCAAAATGCAAAGTGACCATGCCAAAATGTAGCAAATACCATGCAAAATGACAGGTTCTAGTTCCAAACTGTTGCAAATACAAGGCACATGGCACCAGGAAAGAAAACGCAAAAAAACAAAACCTGAGGCCAAAAAAACAAAAACTATTCTACACCCTTTTTTAATGTAGAGTTTGTTTGTTGGTTTTCTTGCAAGCGTTTGTTTGGAAATGTGTGTTCCAAAGTTTGTTTCTTCACCAGAAGCAAACTATTTGACCAAAGCTTTGCTTGGCATCGGAAAACAAACCTTCCCACTACAAAGGTTCCCTGATTCGTTTTCGCCGGTAGAAACCCGGCTGTAAAACGATTGTTTCCATGGACCAAAACTATGGGTTCAGTACCTTCGTTTTGTTCCCAGCAAACTCACGGTTTTCGAGGGTGTCGTTGTCGTTGTTCGGTGGTGGTGGCAGTGGCGGTGGTGGTTCTTGCTCTTTTTGCTCTTCTTGCTCTTCTTGCTCTTCTTGCTCTTCTTTCTCTTCTTGCGCTTCTTGCTCTTCTTGCTCTTCTTGCTCTTCTTGCTCTTCTTGCTCTTCTTGCTCTTCTTCCTCTTCTTCCTCTTCTTGCTCTTCTTGCTCTTCTTGCTCTTCTTGCTCTTCTCGCTCTTCTTGCTCTTCTTGCTCTTCTTGCTCTTCTTGCTCTTCTTCCTCTTCTTCCTCTTCTTGCTCTTCTTGCTCTTCTTGCTCTTCTTGCTCTTCTCGCTCTTCTTGCTCTTCTTGCTCTTCGCGCTCTTCGCGCTCTTCTTGCTCTTCTTGCTCTTCTCGCTGTTCTTGCTTTTCTTGCTATTGTTCTTGTCCTTGTTTTTGTTCTTGTTCTTGTTCTTGTGGCGGCGGTGGCGGTGGTAAGATTGTGGTAAGATTGCGGTAAGATTGTGGTAAGATTGCGGTAAGATTGTGGTAAGCTTGTGGCAAGATTGTGGTAATATTGTCGTCGAACATGCACGCAGCACTTAATTTCCACCTGCCTTAACGAACTCGCGCGCCACTTTCCTGTCCCTGCCAAACTTGCAGACGATCTCGAGAAAGGGTGTGTTGCTGCCTGGGGCGGGGGTCGGAAACAAACAAACTGATACCTTCGGATTTGGAAACCTTTGTTGCTCAAACTCGAAACTCTAGTCTTGAAACTTTGGTTTCCCGATTGTTCTCCATTTTTTCCAGAAAACGTTTGTTTTCCCTTCCGGCAACAGTTTTTGTCCCAGCCGATGGCAGTCAGAAACTCACATTTCACCTCCCTCCTAAAACGTTTGTTTTTCCTGCAGAAGCAAACCTTTTTCACCAGAATTAGTCTGTTTCCTCTCCGCCCCTGGAGCACCCTCAAACCCAGACCTACCTGTTGTGAAAGTTTCAAAACTAATCGTTAACCTTTTTTCTTTCCAAAGAACTATTGAAACTTGAGTTTGAGTTTGAAGCCCTTTGGTCGCATCCTTACTCCCCAAACATGCTGGGGGTGTTCTCTTTCTGCCACTGCCGGCTCTGGTCTAGAGGATCATTTTGCCAAGCAATACAAGCAGACGATAGGCACCACTGCTTGGAACCGGGTTTGCTTTGGAAATTGTTCCTCTCTGGTCTCCTAGTTGCTACGAATACAGTACAATATAGTTCAGTAATGTTCAGTGATTTGTAGTGTGGCGGTGGTTTCAATTCACATGCATGAGTAATTCCTACCTGTGCGCTGAATGCTTTTTGAATTTCCAGATCAAAACGGTAGAGCATGTTCTCTGCATCATTCAACATCCGGAGAATGTGCCTATGGTCTTCTTTCATCTGTGATTTACGCTGGCAGCTGTTTCACCCCCAGTTGTGGTGGCTCTTAGGCAATGTCAACCCCGGAATAATAAGCCATTGCATGGTCCGAATCGGGAATGCCATTTCCTGCAATTAATCAACCGTTGTGTGTTAATCCAGGGCTGACATGATTCCCACTGATTGGGCGTGGCCTCCTGCTAGTTTTGTTTCTTTTTATCATGTTTGACCATTTTTGCTGCGAGCCGTCATCTGCGTGATCCTCCTGCAGGTCTGGACTTCTTCGTGAAACGAGTAGTCCTTCCAGGCGATGTCCACGCCACTCGGCGCCGGCGAGAGGGGCTGGGTCGTGGGTGCTGCCTGGGTGTGGAAGGTACCAGCAGGGTTGCACAGCAGATTTTTCCATGCTGGAGATGATAAGCACTAGTTGTACAAGGGTCGGACTGCTGATTTTAAGGGCACATTTGTTGACCTGCTGCTGCTCGCAATGTGCTGGACGAGACAGCATTTGAGCTGTCGACCTCTTTCACACCATGCAGCACCACAGCTCCCAGGTGTGTTTGCAAATTTGGGACATCGGAGGTCAGTCCATCGGCGGCAAAATGCTCAGCCGCTTGGCAGCACTGGCGATTGTGGGTGGCTGGCAGCGATGCTAAAGCGGCCCTAATTTTGGGCAGCACGTTTCGGCGCAAGGCAACTACATTTATGGTTCTGCTGCTGCACGGAGCTGAGGGGATGTTTGTTCCATTATGTTTCATGCTCTTTGGGATATTGCCGGCCGAGGAGAGCTGCAGACCAGCTTTCCTTAGGTGTCCTTTTCTTGACCTTCTTTTCATCTCAGCATTTTTGCCCCACCCCTTTGCAATGTTTTGCAGTCAAGACCGTGGTCAAAATTCCAGCAGATCCCATTCAGTGATTGGCACACCATCCAAATGGCTGAGCAAGGGATTTGAAAGGTCGTGCTTTGCTACGACATCACCAATTACCAAAGTTTCCAGCATTTGGAGGCGCGGACGCACATCAGAATTTTCTTGGCCGAAGGGGGACTTGCAAGAACCAGATGCACCATACCAGCTCATACAATTTCATATTCCCTAAACATACTCCTCGCGATCGAACTCACAGACCCTGGGAGGACTGGTTGTTCTTGGTGAAACGCACATTCGACCAGACTCCCATGCCGTTGGGAGCCCATAGCCTGCTAAGCCTCGGCTGGCGAGACACCAGGAACATCTATGTCAAGTTCTCAAAGCTCTGTCAAGATTCTTATCAGTGGATACTGTATATAAGCTTTCAAGCCCAAAAGAGCTATATTTATAGTAGATCGGCCCAATGATCAATTTGACATCCTGCTTTCAGTCAGGCAGAACACAAATGGCCCTATTTAATTGCCTTCGGCAAGCCCGCCGGCCATAGAGAGGTGGCCCCAAGGGAGTTTGATGTGCATTCCAGGTGGAAGCCCACGAGAGAGCAGAAGAGAAAAGAAGGAGAAGAAGAAGAAGAGAGGAAGAAGACAAAGCCGTAAAACGGAAGCGGCTTGTGTAGCAAGGTTTGCTGTAACAACCTATTGACCGTATACCAAATTCGTAACGCCCCCAGCAAAGTAGCGCCAGGTACTATGTATGAGCCTCTGTCTTGACAGCAGACCGCTGCATGGAAGGGGAGAGGGGAGAGAGATTGCCCCAAGGGAGGTTGACGTGCACGCTAGGTGGAAGCCTGAGAGAAGAAGAGACGAAGACAGAGCCGTGGATCAGAAGCAGCTTGCGTAGCAAGTGCGTGCTTGAACAACCAATGGAACGCATACCAAATGATTATTAGTCCGCGTGCGTCCTGTGACGAGTACCTGTAGACGACGGTAATGCTCTAGGCAACGTCATTAGCTACCGGCACTACCAGTGTCGTACTTGGGAAGAAGGGAGGAAGGAGTAGAGGAGTAGAGGAATCGGAGTAGGCGTCGGAGAAGGCGTAGGAGTAGGAGTAGGAGTGGTAGTAGTAGTAGTAGTAGTGGTGGTGGTGGTGGTAGTGGTGTAGTGTAGTGTAGTGTAGTGTAGTGTAGTGTAGTGTAGTGCAGTGCAGTGCAGTGCAGTGCAGTGCAGTGCAGTGCAGTGCAGTGCAGTGCAGTGCAGTGCAGTGCAGTGCAGTGCAGTGCAGTGCAGTGCAGTGTAGTGTAGTGTAGTGGTACCTATAGTTGTAGCTGTAGTTGCAGTTGTCTATCTATCTATCTGTCTATCTGCAAGCTTGAAAACGCAGCAATTTTGCATGACTACTACTACTACTCCTCCTCCTCCTGCTCCTCCTACCACTCCTACCACTCCTACTACTCCAAGTACTACTACTACTACTACTACTCCTCCTACTACTGCTACTACTACTACTACTCCTACTACTCCTACTACTACTGGTACTACTACTACTACTCCTACTACTCCTACTACTCCTACTACTCCTACTCCTACTACTACTGGTACTACTACTACTACTACTACTGCTACTACTACTACTACTATTACTACTACTACTACTGCTACTACTACTACTACTACTACTATTACTCCTACTACTCCTACTACTCCTACTAGCCCCACTACTCCTACTACTCCTACTACTCCTACTACTACTACTACTAATAATAATAATAATGATGATAAGACGAAGCAAAAACGAGCAGCAAGAGAACAAAGGAACAAGTACAAGCCAAGAACAGAAACAAGTACAAAACAAGAACGGAAACAAGAACAACACCTTCCAATCAGACACGCCGGCAGGCCGGCGGATTTAAAATTTGCACGCCCCAGACAGCGCATCGATCCAGAATTGTCCCATTCGTCTTTTCCCCTTTCCATCTGACTCCGGAGATTGCCGTTCTTGTGATAAGGTATACGGCTTTGATGGGAAACAAGGTTGACCTTGCACACATCAGAGCGGTAAAGGTGGAGAAGCACTCTCAGGCGGGGGAACTTGTGTGCAATGGGGGAAAGGGATAGAAATCAGTATAGTATAATTAAGTAATAAGTGAGTGACAGATTGCAAGGTTCCTAGCCATATAGATACAGGTTAAACACGGCATTTATTGGGTCATTTAATGTCATTTAGTTTAATTTGATGTGTGTGGAGTTTGGCAGGAGGAGGGCTTATTCTTGCAAGGGCTGCATTCTTTTCGTCGCGCGTTGCGTTGCAGGATGGCATGGGCCGCCAGCTTGTCCACTGTATATATAGTGATATGCTATGGAAGGGATGCTCTCGGCTCATCAACATTCCACCATGTGGCTTTAATCTACGTAAGTCTGTCCAGTATTTCTTTCTGCCCCAGCACTGGCTTTCGCTTTGAACCTTTTTTTCACAAGATGATTCCCGTGATTCCTGGACAAATTAAACCCCAAGCGTGTTGAGCAAGGTGCCTAAAATGAGCCCCGTGCCTCACATCCGAAGTCTTGCGCCAGTTTGCAGAAGAGAATGACTTGTACAGCTACTTCGTCTCAGCTAGAACGGGAGACCAGGTAGTGAGCGTGGTGGGCATTGATGGATTCAGCATTAGCATTGGTATTCTGTGACTAAAGGATAAAATAGACAATTGAAATTACACCTGGCAAGTGTTAATTGAATGGATTCAAAGCCACAAACAGTGATTGGCACAAGCATCGAAGAGAAATGTGGATGTGAGACGGGAACAGGTGATATAGCTTTGGTGATACGCACTTCGACCAACGAAATGACATTTCAGCTGTCGTGTGTGGACCGGCGAAAATATATTTGAGCAGAAGCCTCTGGATATCATGGAGCGGCATTCATACCGTTGCACCTCTATCAAAAGATGTCTCATCAAGGATGTGATCAGAGAAGACGTCATCAACGAGCATGTGAGCATACCATGCCGTACCAGACCATACCGTATCTGACTACCTGACTACATGACCTGCGTGCTGGCAGGTGCATTCTGCCTTCTTCCGGATCGCTGCGGATTTGGCAGGCGGCGGTAAAGGTTGAGATATGGCAGAGTCATGCAGAATCCCAATGGCACGACAGGGCGTATGTGGAAGACTAGACTCCAAGGCATCAATTTGACGTTCTGTGTTGGATTTGGAATGATAGACGAGAATGGAACTTATATAAGTGAAATAGGAAATAGGAAAATCAAAGGAATTGCTTATTGCCACTAGTGGATAGTTCTCTTTACCCTTGGCAAATAATCCTCAGAAAGGGGTTTAGTCTTAGTTGAGTATATTGGAGCGCGATGTTCATCATCCAGGGAAAGTCGTGCCAATGACTATAACCTAGTTCATGGATGGAAGGCAGACTGGTGAGCTCAGTCACACGCGCACACACTTGATCAGAACTGTCGTTGCGAATTTTGCTGTGGAATGCATCAGACGTGCAAGAAACACCAACACAACAACATAACACGATGAGATGAACCTAAATATTTAGATAGATAGATAGATAGATATATGTATAATCACAGTAGATGTTGACGGTATAAAACAACAGTGATATACTATACGTCCCCCCCAGCTGCGACTTAAATGCGCCCAGGGGCGGGACTATACATATATAAATATAAATATATCTGCAGGTACAGGAAACCGGCCACGTTTCCATTCCCACCCATGCCCACAGCTTCATTGCGCGTGGTAGGACATGAGTGCCACACGCCCTTGCGATAAGAAGTTTTACATCTATTCAGATGCGGTACACACACACCCTGCTGCAGCAGGGTGGATGAAGTGAAAATGAAAATGAGATGGAAATGAACCTGAAATGACAAGCTACCTAACCGGGACACGAGACGGGGAACACAAAAGAAGAACGGAAAAAAGGAGAAAACACCAACACCAACACACCTAGCCCAGAACGGGCAAACCCTGAAAGGGTAAGGGAAGAGAAAAATGCGGACGGACGACAGGCCAAAAACCAACCAGAGGAGGAGGGGGCGGACAGAAGCGCCTGACACAACCTACAAGGCGAGAGCCAAACCTGACCGAACACGGGAGCACGCATGAAATAGAGGACCATGGGGAACTGGCAACAAAAAGATGCATCCACAAACTAATGCAAAGTGTCGTGATAATGCTCAAGGCTTTTGTGATCATTTCAACCTTGCAGACGGCTGTCAGTAGTCCCCAACTGAGCTAAGTGCGCAGTTTAACCTCACCAGAGACCATGAAGAGAAAAGAATACCACACCTAAAGTCGTGAACCTGCCTGGATGTTCCATCATGACTGCACTGTCAAATGCTTGAACGTTCTCGAGCAAAGTTGAAAAAAGGAGGTACGGCTTAAGCGTCGAAAAAGAATAGGAAGCCAGGCACGGCGGCCAGTTGTTCAACCAGCGACAAACGACAGGGTGAAGAGTGAAAAATGGCCAACTGTTCCACTTTACTTAGACGAATTGCTAGATGAAAAGTGCAATTTCAGAGATCAAGTCGTAGGATCAAACATCCTACCTGGACAGGTATTCCCCGAAGGGCTCATGTCACCCTGACGAACCGACATGAGTAAAACACACTTGATCAGAACTTCCGTTGCAAATGTTGCTGTGGAATGCATCAGACGTGCAAAAAACACCAACACAACAACATAACACGATGAGATGAACCTAAATATTTAAATAGATAGATAGATAGATAGATAGATAGATAGATATATATATGATCACAGTAGACGTTGACGGTATAAAACAACAGCGATATACTATACGTCCCCCCAGCTGCGACTTAAATGCGCCCAGGGGCGGGACTATACATATATAAATATAAATATATCTGCAGGTACAGGAAACCGGCCACGTTTCCCTTCCCACCCATGCCCACAGCTTCATTGCGCGTGGTAGGACATGAGTGCCACACGCCCTTGCGATAAGAAGTTTTACATCTATTCAGATGCGGTACACACACACACAAACCAATCAGTTGTAGAAATGATGATCAAGATCATTTCCCGATACGAGACAATACAGGACAACCGCGACCATATGCAGCTTCCCAGTGGAAGGTGCATTCCAAATATGAGTTTTGACCACATGATAAGCTCTGCTGCTCGAAGGAGATCAGAACGGGCTGGTCCAAGCAAGATTCGCCGTGGTAACAGAGTGAAAGTGGAGACGGTTTGGTCCTTTCAAAATCGCACACCAAGACTTGACAATATGATGCAAATGATGCTACAGGAAAGGCAAATAGTTCATTCACCAAGAGTTCCTTATCCGAGGGATCCATTCTGGATTTGAAGGCATCCTCAAATAGACCAATGCCGTATATTTCCCCAGACAGCGAAGCTCAAGTATAGTAGGAGTTGCATGTCTGCGTTTTGGAGCAGGCATGCTGGTGCCGCTGCAGGGTGCCGCTGCAGGTGCTGCTGTCAGAGTGCTGTGCTGTCACAGTGGTTAGCTGCAGCGTGTTGCTTAAGGGCGCTGCTGTCAGAGTGGTGTGTGTGTGTGTGTGCTTTGGAGCGGGCATGCTCATGCCGCTGCAGTGCGCTGCTTGAGGGTGCAGTCACAGTGGTGTGCGTTTTGGGAGCGGGGGTGCTGGTGCCGCTGCGGGGCGCTGCTGCAGGGCAGGGTGCTGCTGCAAGGTGCTGCTTGAAGGTGCTGCTGTCAGAGTTATGTAGCGGGCATGCTGGTGCCGCTGCAGGGTGCTGGTTGCTGGTGCCATTGCAGGGTGCCGCTGCAGGGCGCTGCTTCGTTAAAGTGGCGTGTGCGCTTTGGAGTTGGCATGTTGGTGCCGCTGCATGGTGCTGCTGCTGTCAGAGTGCTGTGTGCGCTTTGGAGCTGGTCTCTGTAGGGTGCCGTTGCAAAGTGCTGCGTCAGGTGCTGCTGTTAGAGCGGCGTGTGCGCTGTGGAGCTGGCCTGCCGGTGCCGCTGCACGGTGCCGTTGCAGCATGCTGATGCATGGTACTACTGTCAAAGCGCTGTCTGCAGCTTAGGAATTTACTGCTGTGAGAGTGCGGTGTGCGCTATGAAGCTTCGCTGCAGGGCGTGGCTACGAGATGTCTATGGCAGTGTGGGCATCTGGCCTTGATAGAGATTACGTTTATGTAAATTTATGTAGCAAAAAAGGCGAGCGCTTGGTTGCCACCAAAAAAAATATTTTGCTATCTGGGGTCTATGCTGGCGTAATTTTTCTAGTCAGTAGCAGAAGATTCAGAAGTTGAGTGCGGCTATTTTCCTTGCAATCATCAGAGAAAGCTCGTGTATCAAGGCTTCCTGTATTCATGTACTGGGATCTTTATGGATCATGTCGAGTTCCCAAA